GGCCTCTGGTCTTCAAAGAATCGCTTGTCTTATCTGGACCTGATCACAGTCTGGAATACAGTCGGCTTGCAATGGAGTGCTCCTCCTACAGGAGTGGCAGCTCTCATCAGGGAGTTGCTACTCAGGAACAGGTTCCTTCGCAAGCGTGTTTGCACTGGCCAAAGGAGGAGAGAGCTCAGATTGCAGGGCTGACCAGAGTCGGGGATGCACAGGATGACGCTGGCTGCGAGGTCATCAAACAACCTCTGGTTCGCGACCTGAGCCACCCAGAACCCAATGGACAAGGTGCTTGGCCACGACCCGTCGTGTGCACTTGATGTGACTCAGGCGTGTGATGGGCTTCTGAAAAAACTGAACCCTGTCTGTGCCCAACTCGACATTGGCCCCATGACGCAGCACCCTTCAATCTGAGCCGTCTTGTTTAACCTCCTGGTCTCTTCTCCCCCCCAAGTAATGGAGATTCCCAGTGGAGGGTCCTCTACAAAAGGAGTCTTCCCCTCTTACATTGGGGATCTGGGATAGAGAGTGCTGCATGCATCAGGTGCCAGACATGTGTGCACATTCTGTGGCCTGGAGGTTGAGTTCATAGAATCCCTACAGTGTGGAAGCAGGCCATTCAGCCCATCGAGTTCACACCAACCCTCTGAAGAGCATTCCACCCAGACCCACCCCTGCATTTCTCACCCTAGACACTATGGGCAATTTAGTATAGCCAATCCACCTAACCTACACCCCTTCGGGCTGTAGGAGGAAACTTACACAGACATGTGCAAACTCCACACAGACAGTCGCCCGAACATGGAATTGAACCCAGGTCCCTGGCACTGTGGGGCAGCAGTGCTAACCACTAAGCCACTGTGCTGCCCTACAGTTGAAGGTGTCTGTTTCCCAGCCCCTTTTTTTTTAGTTTTTTTATTGTGGGGGCTGCTGTTAAAATTTTGGTCACACTTCAGCCCCACATTCCTGATCTGCGGGCACCCAGTGTGGCGTGGGGCGGACAAGTCTACGAGCTTTCTCGTGGCTTTGCTCTTAGGCTTGGCCAAAATGGCCATTAACAGGTCTAGACGGTGGGCCGAGGAGGGTCTTGTCATCTCTGACTCTGCCCCTCTTCCATGGTTATGTCTGCACTTGGGCGGTCCTGGAGTGGGAGCAAGTGGTGCTCACCGGTACAGTGGAGGCCTCTTGTGATCGATGGGTGTCGCGGGGGCTGGAGGACATTGTCAGTCTGGATAATGATATTCTGATTTAGATTCAAAGTATAAATTTCTGTTTGGTTTTGAGTATGTTTTTGGTTTGACGCCTCAGGAACAGGGCAGTTTTATTTTCCCTTTGAACCCCTTGAAAGAGCCAAAGGGGCTTTTATTTTTAACCTTGTGCTGTCCCTGTCCTAGAAGTTCTTGATGTGGTCGGTGTAAGGGGCACTTTATTTTCATATGCAATGGGTAGAAGAACCTTTCCCTCCGACTTTTGGACCATTGTTGTCCCTGTCCTGGGAGCGATTGATGGGGATGGATCTTTAAGGGGCTTTGATTTTTAGTTTCCTTTGCATTCGACTGAGTCAGGAAATGTTTATTCAACCTTATTGTTCCTACCCCACAAGTGGTTGGTGAGGACAGTGTCGTGGAAAACCATATTTTTGTTTGTTTATTTGTTTTCTTTTATTTTCCACTGGAACTTTAATTCAGTTTGAGAGTTGGGGAAACTTTTACTTTTCTCTTTTAAGAGAGAAGAGTAAGCTTTACTCTGTACTTAACCTGGTACTGTCCCTGTCCCAGGAGTGTCTGATGGGGGCGGTGTTGTGGTGGGGGGGGGCTTGACTTTTCTGTTTGTATTTCTCATTTAAAAGAATAGAGGGTTGCTTTTCAGACTTGAGGCCTGAGACCAGCAATGTGCTGCAAGGTGTTCGGTCCACTGCTTTTTGTCATTTTTATATAAATGATTTGGATGTGGATATAGGAAGTATGGTTAGTAAGTTTGCAGACGACACCAAAATATGTGGAGTAGTGGACAGTGAAGAAGGTTATCTCAGGACAACAGGACCTTGATTAGATGGACCAATGGGCTGAGGAGTGGCAGATGGAGTTTAATTTTGATAAACGTGAGGTGTTGCATTTTGGAAAAGCATATCAGGGCAGAACTTATACACTTAATGGTAAGGTCCTTGGGAGTGTTGCTGAACAAAGAGACCTTGGAGTGCAGGTTCATAGTTCCTTGAAAGCGGAGTCAGAGGTAGACAGGATAGTGAAGAAAGCATTTGGTATGCTTGCCATTTTTGGTCAGTGCATTGAATATAGGAGTTGGGAGGCCATGTTGCAGCTGTACAGGCTATTGGTTAGACCGCTTTTGGAATACTGCGTTCAGTTCTGGTCTCCCTGCTATAGGAAAGATGTTGTGAAACTTGAAAGGGTTCAGAAAAGATTTATTCGTAAAACTGGTATGGGTCTAGCCTTCACGAAACTGGACATGAGCCACGTTTACTTGCACTTATGGTTAGATGAGGATTCCCAGAAGTATGCTACAATTAATAACAGAAAAAGGTTTGTACCAATATAAGAGACTGCCATTTGGGGTATTATCTGCCTATGCAACTTTTCAGTGGGCGATGGATAAAGTTTTGCAAGGTCTACCTCAGGTCGCCAATTACCGAGGTGATGTCCTAATAACGGAAAACTAGGGAAGAACACTTAGAGAACTTGAACGTAGTTCTAAGGCATTTTTCCAAGGCAGGTGTAAACCTGAGAAGGGAAAAAATGTGTTCGAAGCCCCCTACATGACCTACTTGGGCTACAGACATACCCGCATTGGTGGGGGCAGTGCCCAGAGTACCAACAAGGACAAAAATTACTGCTAGCAGTTCTCCCACATCTCTGGCATGTCGGTTATGCAGTCCTTTTCATGGGTTCAGTGTTTTTAGTCATTGTGGAGACACACTGAAAATGGTCGGATATGCGTGGGGTCCATTTGTCAAACACTGGGACAACGATAGGAAATCTTTTGCAATCCTGGAAGTGTTGGTCACAGAAAATGGGCCATCATTTACCGGCAGGGAATTTGGGTATTTCCTAAAGTTGATTGGGATTTGACATATAAGGACCGCACCATACCACCCATTATCCAATGGCCTGGCAGAAAGGGCAGTCCAAACTTTGAAGGCTGGATTGAAGAAACATCCCACACCTTTACTAGATACCAAACTGTCCCAGTTCCTATTTGATGATAGGACCATCCCTCCTGCAACTACAAGGAACACACCAGCAGAGTTGCCAATGGGGAGATGACTCGAGGCCAGATTAAGTCTGATCTTCCCAGACCTGGGGGTTGAGGATGAAATGGCATCAGGAACAACAATGCCAGAAGCAACACTCCACCAAACGAGCGAGACAGTCTGGTGTAAGAATCACAGAAATGGCCCCGCATGGGTAAGAGGCATGGTCAACATGAGGTCAGGACCAGCGACGTTTAAAATTCAGGTAGCTGCAACAGTCCTGAACAGATGTGGACCATATGAAAGGCACAAATTGGCAAACAGTGCGGGAGCAAAACATGCCTGGCTCCTTGGAACAATTGGAAATGTCGCTGGAGCCCGTGGATTCACCCTCTCTGTCAAAGCATTGTCGAGTCCTTCTATCGTGTCCATCCCTGATTCAGATGTCACCACCTCGACACATTTGCTGCCGGAAGAAAAGAACGAAATTCTACCAAGGCGTGCCCAGCGCAAGAAGTGTTTCTTTATTTCACTGAAAGTTACGGATTGTCATTTTATGTTGTTTGTTTGTTTGTTTGTTTTTCTTTCTCTGATCGAGTCTTTGGAACGCTCTGCTTTCACTGTCTTTTGAAGAAGAATTTGTTAGTATTTTTAAGGATCCATGGATCCTTGCTTAGCAAGGAGGTGAAAAGTTATCAGGTAGATGGGAATTTAGAGTAATCAGATCAGTCATGATCTTGATCTTATTCAATGGTGGAACAGGCTTGAGGGGTCCTTTAGCCTACCCCATCTCCAAATCTTTATATTTATAACTAGAGAAATATGAGTTCAGATTTAGGGGACACTTTTTGAAGTTTGACCAGGTGGGCTAGTTGAAGGGAGTGATGTGGCAGAGGCTTGATCTTAGTGACAAGAAAGCCCATGGGCTTCCTGCATTGGCTGGAGTTGAGGGCGGAGGATATAAGAGGGAATTTGGAAGATTATTTACCATGAAGAAAAGATTCACTTCTGCCTGGAATGCAGTCAGCAATTTCCGCAGATGAGAGCAGAACCTGACCATGTTTTAAGTGGTCCGGCCAAATCTGGTTGTGGATGGCTAAACCGGTTGCCTACCATATCCTTTTATAAGTAGTCATCTTTGGATTTGAGGAAATGCAGATGAGAGCTGTATCAGGGTAATGACCAGGGCGAGAGAAAGTAATTGTTTTATTGGTGACTTAAACATCAAAAGGAGGAGTTGAGAATGTATTTACGTAAATCGTGGCTGCGATTAACGTGGTGAATGGAGGGCTTAGATGGTTTCGAGTTGGTGAGTGAATTTGGGGGATAACATTATCCCATGGACAGATACAAAGTGATGTGAGTTGAGATGTGATAGGGGATGTTGGTGCTAAATGATACAAGGAAGTGATCAGAGATGGACTGATCTCTAATTGATAAACTGTCTTTGGACCATTTAAGTTTAGTCCTCTGGATTACTTGTGCAGTAACATATAACCCCCATGCTACCATGTCTAGTATGATCTTTTTTTTTTCACTCTGCATTCAAAAAATTAGTGATCCTGATGTGATGACTGAACTCAACTTAACATTGTTTCCTAGATCTGGACACCTTGGCTTCCTCACTCAGTAATGCTTACCATTCAACATGATAAATAATGTGGAGGTATGAGCCTGCAGTTTGGTTAAGCAAGTCCTAAATACTGGGTCCTGCAGAATGGGACAAACATATTGCAATTTGAATTTCAATGTGTCAAGCTGTGCATTTTTTTTTTCCCTGCCCTCCCTTTTTCAGAGTACGGATAGAGACCTCTACACTTCTTCTGCAGGCCTGTTCAGGATGCAGCTTTGTACGATGGAAGAATACAGCCGCCAACAGTGGCAGAAGTATGAATTACCAATTTTCTAACACACGATGGAGACGCTTGGTTGCGGGGGTCCTGGCGGGTACAGGTGCTGTCCTAGTTTATGGCTTGCATAGACAACAGGTATGAGGGAATAGCTATTGCATCCTTACTAATAACTTTAT